TTTTTTTGGGTTCCACTACACTTTAGACCCTCAATATTTAAAGCAAATCGGAGACATGTTCGAATTTAAATATATTTTTCTATTTGTATACCATAATAAGCACAGTAAGAAACGCATTTGCTTTTCGTATTGTGTCCAAGGCAACAGTTAGCAAATATAATTTATAATTCGAATTTTTCTTAAAATTTTACTAATAAAATGTATTTTTTAAATAACTCATGTCATAAGACACTCGTCCTCGTGCAATTTTTCTTGTGCGAAAAAATGACGTATTATGAGATTAGTTCTTTAATCAATTATCATATTATTTTGCATTTTATACCTGCAGCAGGATCCAACAATTATAATTATACATTTACAACAGTAACAATAATTTAAACATACATGTTTTGGATAAACTTTTTATAAAAAGATCTAGATACAGTCGATATTTTTGGTCATTGTTTTTTTTAATAAAAAGAATAAATAATAAGTTTTGTTCATTGTTCATGTTCATTACTTAGGTACTATTACTACTGTATACTAGATGTCTCTATAAGTATATTTTTTCAAGAAAAATTAAATTAAAACAAAAAACATCAGGTAATTTTTTTGTAAGCACTCTTTATGTCATAATATTTTGTTTAAATTAATAAAATAGCACATAGGTAAATTATGTATAAATCATAAATATTTCTAAATTTAATTATAAATACCCAATCAATCTTAAACTAAATTACAGGAGCGTTTTGTATTAATAAATATTAAATTTTTTTGATTTGAAATTAAATAACACAAGTATACACGGTTTTGGACCTGAGCAACCAAAAGTTGTTTTTAAGGTTACTTGGGGCGCTAAATCCAAATCTTCACTCCGTTTTTTAAAATAGGTTCTAGTCTTCGAGATAGTAAATAAATTAAATTTGTACGATCGTTGGCAGTTATATTTATTTAATGGCAATTAAAAGGAATAAATTAGAAATGAAGAGCGGTGAAACTAAGTCTTTTATATTGTTTTGGATCCGTTTCACGTATTAGAGTCCAACAGTACTCGCTCATCCCAAAATTCTTGGTATCTCCTTTCAATGTTTGCGAGATCTTGGTGTAGCCGCTCTCCCTGTTCGTCGCTCGTATCGCCCAAGTTTTCAGGGAAAAAATCGAGGTCGGAATGGAGGAAATGCATCTTGAGAGACATCCGAGATCCAATCTTGCGGTAATTTTGCAACAAATTGCCGATGAGTACCACAAGGCTCCAATTTAGGTCCTTTGTTATTTCTTTTGTTTATAAACAATTTGCCGTTGTCTCTAAAGTGCAATAACCTTTTGTTTGCAGACGACTTAAAGCTTTTTTCTTGCATAAGTAACTTTAATGACTGTGATAATTTGCCGACTCAGATAAAAGTTCTAGATCTGTGGTGTAATGATAATAATTTGTCAATTAATTTTTCTAAATGTAGAGTTTGTACTTTTAGTCGTAAAAAGTATCCTATTTTATATATAACTACCATATTGGTAAGCAAGTTCTAGGCAGAAATAACATTTTAAAGGATTTGGGAATTTTATTTGATCACAAATTAACTTTTATTGATCATATAAACATGATCAGCAAGTCTGCCCTTAAGACACTGGGATTTCTTATTAGAAATAGTAGAAACTTTACTAATCCATTGGCAATAAAAACATTATACTTTACATTGATAAGAACTAAACTTGAATATGGAGCTATTGTTTGGGACCCTCATTATAATTTTTACGTTGAAACTCTTGAGCGTGTTCAACGGAAGTTTTTAAAGCTCTTATGTTTTAAGTTGGATGGATTCTACCCAGAAAGGGAAATTAATCAATTAGACTTGTAAGGTTTGGTTTAACTACATTAAGGCAAAGGAGAATTATAATGGGTTTAATTTTTCTTTTTAAATTGGTAAACAATAAGATTGATTGCCCTGATTTGTTAAAGCAATTAAATTTTTTTGTTCCAAGGCTAGGGTCGCGAAATTCTTTATATTTTTATTGTAACTTTTCCAGAACGAATTTGTACTATAATTCACCCTTGCAGTCCATTTGTAGAAATTATAATAGCATTAGTAATGATTGTGATATAAATGACTGTACATTGTGTTAATTTATTAGAATTGCAAATAGTCTATTTTTGATTTAAAAAATTCGTGTGTATTCTTATTTTTTTATTAATTTTTTTTCAGATTTATTTGTATCATATTATTTTTTTTTATATCTTATGTTTATACTTTATTTTGTAAACATTGTCCTGTAATTGGATTTATCTGTTGGGCAATAAAGAAATTATTATTATTATTATTTGCTTGAAATCCGGGGATTTGCGGTTACCAAGAAAGTTGTGAAGAACAATTCAAAAAGAGGTCCATGCTGCCGCTTCATCAGATGTTAAACATTTTGTATAGTTTCCTTCGGTCATTAATTTTCGAATATCAGGTCCGACAAATATTCCTTCTTTGATTACGTACGACAAATTCGGAAACAACTTGATTAAGTACTGAAAAGCCAGCCCTTCACCTGCGAGAACTGAAAAACTAGAACCAATGTTGCTAAACGGATTTAAGATTCGAATTCAGCGCATCAAATAACGTCAAAAATCGTTGTAATCTTGTTTTTATGAATATAAAACTTATCAAACAACCTTCGTAATATAGGTATATTTTATATACTAAAAGCCATCATAATCAATAAAAATACTGATATATGATATGGTGGTTTTTTAGTAACAATCATAATGGCACTGTTTTCTGCAGGGTGGCGAACAACTTTTTTAGGGTAATTTTAAACGCTTAAATTAAAAAGAAGAATCATATTTCTCAATCAGCTCTTGTTTTTGCGATATTATAAAAAACCGTTTTTTTATATGCAAATATAAAAATTTGTACATATTTTTTTTAATCCAATACTTTAACCGTGTCATAATGATGGGTATAAAATAAAAATAATTAAATTTAAAAATATATACATTTATAATGCTTTTTCCTTTAAAAAACATGTTTTTTTCGAAATAAATTGTTTGTGGCCGCTATGTTCGAATTCAATGTTGTTATAAGAACTACCACCAAGTATCTATCAGTTATCTATCTACATTATTGTGTTAAATTTAGGGATGTAATGCTGATGCATCCAAGCGTGGATTCAGGGGGGGCAATGGCCCATTACCCCCCTGTATCCACATTGCCAATGGGTACCCTAACTTACGACTGAAGCACTCTATTTTGACCATTTTAAAGTTTGTTTTTGTTTTTTTCTTTATGTATAGGTATATTTATTTCGTATTTTCTTTTATATCAAATACAGAGCATTATTTATATGCAAGGTAGATAACACAGGGATAACAAATTAAAATGTTATAACATTTTTTGTTTATAACAAATTTTCTGAAATATAGGTCAAAAATTGACCCCCTTAAACGAAATCCTGTATCCGCGCCTGGATGCAGCATAGGCACCAAAACAGATAGTACATATAAATTTAAGGACTATTAGGGTGGGTCAATTTTGTTATTTTTCTATGCCTGCAGTAAAAAAAGTTGTGTGATGGTTAAATTTAAATGGGGTTTTTTATTTTGTTTTATTTCAATAAAAGATTATATTTATTGTTTATAAAAATAAAAATTATCTTTTGTCTTTATAACTTAAATGGCATTAAATATGTACTGGAAACTGTCCAGCTAATTAAGAGAATAAGTCTTCTGGCAAGATGTCCCACGCAAGATTGCTTAAGCCCGTATTAAAGTCTGCAATTCTACGTAAAATTTTGCACGTGCAATAACCTTGCACGAAGGCATGCGCATAGCGACGTTTCGTGCAAGTTTATTGCCATATCAAATTATCGATCCTGCTCGATTTTTATTGCCAGTTCGGTTGGTATCATGCAAGTTGAAATTGGAATTGCAAAGTGTTTTACAGTCAGCAATAAAACGTACATGCAAGAAAGTTGCTGCAAGTAATTGCAGACTCTAATACGGGCTTACCGTATTTTGCGGGCTTAAATTGCAATGTAAAAACCATCCTCTAGTCTAAAAATTCTGGCACTATTATAAAAATCAGATTTGTTAACATGAGTTCTTAGTTTGTTAATTTTATTTTCTAAAATTTTAACATAGTTTTTTGTAGATAACCAGGGTTTGTAATAATTTTAACAAAGAAAAATATTTTACCGAAAGTTTTGTATTCGGATTCCTAATACCCATTTAACGAGTGTGCAAAGTGCGAAGTATCCGAAAAAATATGCCATCACTGGTTTTTAAACTGAAATTAGGGAATACAGTGATGTGGGTTACGAAATACATCAGTAAGTGTTGTAGTATTACTAATAATTTTATTGTACCAAATTTCTTTATATTTTGATTATTTCAGAATTCTGTGTTATTTAATCGTGTGTATGTTATTTTTGTGTTCATTTATAAAGGTATACAATTTATAAAGGTATACCTATAAAGGTAAATTTAAAAATGTTTTACTTAACTCTTAACTGATTTTTGAGTTACAACGCTTTAATTTTGTTAAACAGCGTTATTAAATCTCGTTGATAGGCGCGGTTTTTTTAAATGCCATTTTGATAGTTTTTATTTGATGGCCTTGAAATATTAACACAATAAAAACTTTATTATAGAGTGGATAAAAGCTATAAATTCGAATTTTATTAAATTCGGGCAAAACTTGATGTGGCAGCACTTTTAAATTTAAAAAATGGCTGAATTTTAAAATTATTTAAAGGATTTATTACATAATAAACATGATTTCTAAACAAAATAATTATATTATATAATATAATTATAATTATTTATTTTTATAACTTAGGTACCCTGTAGTAGATGTTTATAATATTGTACATAATATACCTACTATTACTTACAACTTACACTACTCAAGCTCAGTAAAAGTATCAAGAAAAGATAGTTTAGGCCATAAACCATTTCCACACCATCAATATTAATTTATAATGAACCATTGAAGTTAATTTACGATTCAATAAAAAATCCGTCCCATTTAAATTTATTTGGGGTAGAAGGTTTGTGAAACATATGCCCTATATTTATAAAATTATATTCACAAATATTTGATTTACTTAATAGCTGGCTTTGTTTCCTCTCATCGATATACTCATTCTCCTTTCTGCTCTAGTTGTCGAAAATACCTGTTCAGTGGATGTGGAATTTGGAGGTGGGTATCTCCATCTCCACGGTCTCTGTTGAAGATGTCCGTCGGTGGAGGCTCTACCTCGGAAAGGCCCGATATCGTTAGGGCTGGAAGCTTGACTTTCAACTTTTTCCGCTTCCTCCTCCTCTTCTACTTCTGTCCAACGTCTGTTTATTGTACCTTTAAAACAATTAGTTATATATAAGTAGGTAAGCGGTTTTTTTATATAGGGGCGATTAGAGCGCTGGCAGGATAAATCAGGGACTTAACATAACCTTCTATAGAAATGAAACTCCGTTTCTGCCGTTATTGTTCCGAGTAACATAGAAAGATTAAAACATAATTAGAAACGGAACGGTAAATATCGTTTTCAACAAGTAACAGAAGAGTAGCGAAACTTTATAGACCAAAACCGCTGGAAATCTGAGCAAAACACCGGGTATGGAACGCACACACTTCCACACATATACTGCTGATTCGCTGTATTTTGTATAGATGACGTTGTTTTTTTGAGGGGAAATTTGTCGATTTGCCATATCATTTTACTTTATGCGCATAGTCAGTTCATAAGTGAGGGATTTAAAATATATGATACCATTGACATATTAATACGACCATGTATGATACGAATTGTCAACTAAATAAAATTTAGGTCACATGATTGTTTTCTAAATAATTTGCTTACATCGCCTAGTTTAAGCTTACATACATTTTTGTGGCATATTGTGCATATCATCATTTTTTGGTGTTTATTTTTGTTAAATGATTTTTTTAATCAATAATATAAATTATTTATATACAATTTATTAAAAAGTATTTATTATAAAAAAATATGGTGTTTGTTTTAAACCACCCATGAACCTCAATACAATTACCAGTGTGAATCTCACTTCCCCTGAAAATTTAAAGTTTTGTTACAGTTTCGTTACTCAGTTACTGTGACTAGTTTTGTTTCAATATCCTGTGTTTCTGTAGTAGTTGCGCTAGTGCGTTTTTCTGTTATCAACAGTTTCGATAGCAATTTTGTTTTTGCTAAACCCTTAACAAGATTTTCTTACTTGTTTTGGTACTAATTTTCGTTATCATCTTTTGTAAATAATAAAGAACGATGCCGTAACAGAAACGCGTTACAGGTCCCTGGGATATTATTTTGAGATTAAATTGCATCGATAACACTTAAATGTAATTAAAAAGAAATTGGTTGGATTTGGAATTGTTGTTTAATTTCAATTTAAAAAAATCGCGATTGAAAACCCATTTATAATTAATTAAAATAGTCAAGGTTTTAATCGCATATCCTATTTTGTATTTTCCAATTTGTTTTTATTTTAGTTTAGGGCAAACATTATATTAGTAACTATACCAAAACATTCACAAATAGATATTTAATTAATTGGATAACCGTTATTAAATAAATACATTTTTAACTTAAAAATAATAGTTTACTTTTATAGGTAACTTAAAAGTGCAATGCTTACAAAATAAAATTTAAATAATATAATAAGGCCTTTAAGTGCTTTGGGTTTGTGCTGTTTAATAATTGTTTTAAACGTTGTGTTTCTTACAGAGGCACTTGTAAGCCTCAAATAAGGCCTTTAATTGCTAAGGACATTTTACTCCTCTTTTATAATAAATATACCTTATTCTATCAGGGCTGTCAAATGACAATTTGAAGGTTAATTTGTGGGTTATAATTTAACCTTAAAATTAACATTTGACAGTTTTATGACAGCCCTGTTGGAATAAAGTTTATTTTTTACAATAGAGGAGTAAAATGGTTGTTCTTAGCACTTTAAGGACTCTTTTAAGGCTTAATATGAGAAACACAACGTTTAAAACGATTATTAATCTGTATAAACAGAGCACAAACCCAAAGCACAAAAATTGTAAACAACAAAAATGGCCGCCGTTAAACTGTGCAGTGTTGCAGTGATTTTTTGTATTTTTATTACCTACGAGATTGTGGCAACATTTAAATAATTGTGTAGGGTTTATTTTAAATTTTTTTTGAACATTTCTGTACTGGTTAGTTATGCCAAGAGGAATTCCAATTTTAAAAGACAAACAAGCCGATACCCCGGAATATTGTATCTAATAGTATATTAAAGTACAAGTTGCAGAAGGCCACATATTCTCGCACGAATTCGAAATTTGGCCTCGAGCGACGAAGGAGCGAGTGGACGAACGAATGAGTGCGAGAATAGCCTTCTGCAACGTGTGATTTATACTATTTTCTCGATTTTAACTTTTATTTAGGTTTTTTTAATTGTTTTGTGGTCGTTGTTAGTTAGGGGATTTTTCTCGCAAAATGTCAGTTGGCAACACAAAATGACAATATTTGTTATCCTGCACAAGTACAACCTGAACTGCACTTTTTTACATTCAACTTAAAATTTTGCATTAAAATGCATTGTTGGAGCAAACTTAATATTACAAAAACAATAATAAAGGCTTCATTTTCAATAAAAGTAATGAATTTGAGGTTATTAATCAGTTTGACATTTTGGGGGTACCAATACTTAAAAACTAAATGTTACCAAAAATCGTTTAAGAATGAGCTTCATTCTTCAACGATTTTGCGTGCGAGAATATGACATTCTTACATAAAAATCGAGAAAATAATTTTATCGTATAATGACAGAAGATATTTAGAGAAGTGACCAAAATCGGTAAGGCCAAAGAAAAAAACAGTATTGACCGACAAACGCATCAAAATAATTGCTCAAAATGATCTTTCCAGGAAGTCCGCACATAGAATTATTGCCGAAATAAGATTTGGTATTCTAATAGTTCAAAGAAGATTAGTAGATTCAAAGTTGTTTAGTAGACGTCCAGCTAAAAAACCGTTAGTTTCGGAAAGAAATAGAGCAGCAAGGTTGGCATTTGCACATCGGCATTTAAACTGGACCGTCGCGATGATGACTGGTACCATGGTAAAAGTTTTATTCAGTGATGAAAAGCGTTTATCGGGATATCACGCAGAATATTATACTTCCTTATGCAGATTGGGAAATGCCATTGCTAGTGATGCCGCGAGACGAGACGAGAAAAGTCCTTCTCTCGTCTCGTCTCGTACAGCGAGAGAAAATGTGTCTGTCGTCTCGTCGAGAATACTCTTTTCTCGCTCGAGAGTGCCTTTCTCTCGTATCGTCTTGTTTCTCTCGTGGTAAAAGTACCTATGTATGAATACAAAAATTATTTGGAATGAAATACAAATTCATTTATATTTTTTTCTATAGAAATTTAAACTGGAAATAAAAAAATGTGTGCCAAGACCACACTGATAAAGAAAGACTTTTTACGCCGAAAATTTCGCGCATTTGAATCAAATGGTTGGATCTATGTGGAGTAGTTATATCTAGTATATAGGCGCAGTATTTTTCAGTTGGAAAACTACTGCACCTATATGATGTAACTACTACACATAGATCCAACCATCTTTCACCTACTGCGCATGTACGGGTTTTTTAATAGTATAAAGAGTGCCATAGATGTGCTTATACAGAGTAAATTTTAAAAATAATTTTTATTTTATAAGTATTTTTTTCTTGGTTAACGTTAAGTTGTGTTATAAAATAATACAACGTTAACCAGGAACAAATTTTGTATATTATGAAATGCGAATAATGTTCTCATTGGTTCAAATAAATATCGTTATTTATGTGCAAAATTATAATTTTTATGTAAAAAAAAATGTTTACTTATTACCGAAATAATCGAGAGAACGAGAGAGATCGAGAGAAACGAGAAATTCTCGAGCGAGAGGGCATTCTCGTGCCTTTTTTCTAGAGAAAATCGCCCTCTCGTCTCTTCGAGACGAGACGAGACGAGAGGCGAGAATCTCTCGTATCGGCGGCATCACTAGCCATTGCGTTTTATTTTCCAACAATAATCCAAAACACTCTTCACAAGTTGTTAAACAGTGGTTGAAGGAAAATAACGTTCGAGTTTTCCAGACCTTAACCCCATTGAGTAGAACGTCGTATTCTTACGCAAATGTTTTTAAATAAACAATTGACGCGTTTCTCGGAAAAACATCATTAGTCCAAAATTAACATATTTGGGAAAATGAAAAAAACTCTCCGACATTCCCATTTTTGACCAAAGTACTTTATTGACCTATTTACTACAATGTCACATGTCACATGTAAAAAAATGTAAGATACTTTCACCAGAATTCCTCATCTTTTTTTTTCGACGAATATGAAAAAAACACAAAAAATACATGAACATGTGAGGTTTTTAGAAGAAAAAAACGAACGATTCTCCTTACTACAAACACTACAAACTAAATATTAACTCTGAGTAACAAAATAAATAAAAACTGAATTACTGCCACACTCAGTCTTCGCATCCACTGCTGTTATCATCGTTGTCGACCGTGTTATCAGGACTGTCAGGTGCTATGGTCTTCTGGTCTTTTATCAAGTTATCATAAAATTTTCTATTGCTGTGGTCATGTAAAAGAGGTATAAGCTTTTCTAGAGTGTCCAAAAACGTCACATGTTATGCACATGTGACTTTCTTAGACAAAACGGAGTGGACTTGTGATGTTTTTGAAGAACAAGCTAAATTTCATATTTATTTATTATGAAACCTATGACATTTTTACGAGAAACACTTATTTGTATACGTATATATGGAGGTTAGGAAACAGTTGGTGCTAATATCTAAATTTCGACGATATTGGACTAATGATGTTTTTCCGAGAAACGCCTCAATTGTTGGAAAATAAAATTAGCGAAGTTTGGACAAATCTTCCCGAAAATGACATTCAAAAGTTAAATGCCTCAATGCCTATTATAGTTCTAAAATGTGTTAAATATTTTTTGTTGAAATAAAATACAATAAAATTTTGTTGAATACAATTTGTTGCTTTTCTTTTGTCGACCCCATACTCATTAATTTTTATAAATTAATTTATTAATTAATAATATTTTTTAAATTCATTTAAAGTAGGTACATCAAAATGTTGTGAAATATAAGTTTCAAAGTAAAGATAGTATTTTATTAAAATAAGCAAAAAAACCACAACCCACTAATTTTTTTCATTCAAACATGACTAAAAAATAACTTAGTTACTTCCCCAGTAGCTCAAAGATATTGGCTCAATATTCGAAATAATATTGGGCCAATATATCTTTCGTCAGATTTTTTCTAGCATGGTCCAATATTGAAACTCAACATTGGCCCAAAGTGTTTTACATTATATTTTAGGAAAGTTGAGGGAGTAATTGAAAGAAAAAAGATAGCCACCTAGTACTTACTACGTAGTAGGATTTCTAAAAGTGATGTCACGATGTCAGGAAATGTTTATAGCATGTACTTAGGGGCGTAGAAGCGGGGGGGCGGTTGACAATGACCACCTAAATGATAAGGGGGAGATATTTTAATATGAACAATACGTTTTATAATTCCTTCTACCCGAGCAAATTAACATTCCATCGGCTTAAGAAATCAATATAAAATGAACTTGAGAATCCTTATTCCTCTATTAAATTATGCAACTTCCAAGACTATTTAGCATGGTTTTATAAATTTCCTATTTTAATGTGTGGCTATATGGGCATTGATAGTTTTCATGGAGATACTAATGAATTGACCCAGGTCAAAAAATATTGTTTTAAAGATTTAATGTCACAATAAATTGCCACCACACTAGTATATATTCTTTATATATACTATAGTATTCCTAATGCACTACTTTTTCGGAATGCAGAGGTTGTTTGACAGTCAAGTATAATAAGTAAAAATTGTCCTGATTACACAAAATTGTGTTGGTAAAACTTTTATTTTTTTAGTTTGAAATGCTCAAATCGGTAATACGCCACGAATACGTGTCTATCAAACTGCAGCTATAGCTATATATATATATATATATATATATTATATTATATATATACGACTATAGTCGTCCCAGAGAATGTTTAAAATTGCGTCATCAATGTCGAATGTCAAAATCCGATTTCTCGACATACGGTTAACCTAGCGGTTCCTTGGATTATATACGTAAAAGAAAACAACAATAACAATTGTAATGTCTGTGCTTGGTTTAGAATTTCATGACGCAATTTAAAACATTCCCGCTACAACTATACCATTGATCGAAAAAAAATCTGCCTGTTCAGCCAAATGGTTGAAGATTTGGTTCAGGTAAAATCGAAAAACCGGGAAATACCTACGCTGCAAGTGGGAAAATTGTTCAAAAAAATAATTTTTCCTAAAGTTTGAACAAAATGGTTGTTGCGAAGTGTGATTTTGTTAGGGCAGATATCGCGAGACTTGTATAACTCTTAGTAAAAGATAATTATATACAACACTTCGAGTACTTTCATGTTGACGTTGACAAGCTTGTTTTATAAATGCTTAATATCCTGACCTCGGACTTTTTTGGTTGTCAAGTGAGCTTTTGTCTTCGAGATTAAAATTTTCTTCTTAAAAGCGCTAAAACCACTACTATTCACATTGGAATGCGGTTTTTCAATTTAACACAGAAAAGATTTTGAATGCCTTACATAATTAATATGCAGACCTCCCTGCTTAAAATACCCCATAGAGACCTATACAAAATAATCTATCGGGCGCTACCGGATTCAATATGTGCATTTGTCCATGGTTTTTTCCGGATATGGACCGTTAGAAAAGTATAGGAAATTACCCATAGGCACACCATAACTTTTAAATGTTTCCTATAGAGACCGATAGCAAATAACTCAATGAAGGATATATAGGGATATCCCTATAGAGCAACCACAAAACATTTGAAATTTTTTTATTAAAACCTATGGGGTCCTATGGGGAAAAACTAGTTTCTACATTTATGTGTATTTTCCCCATTGAAACCAATAGCAAATAAATCAATGGTGAATATCCCTATAGAACAACCATAAATCCCAACTATGGTTCCTATACATACCGATACACTCTATAGAAACACCATACATTCCGATACAAATATCTATCGGTTTTGGAACAGGATCTCTATGGGGTATTTTAAGCAGGGCCTTATATTAAATACTAGCCAAGTAAGAAAGCACATATAAAACATAATTACCCGTTGGCCTAATTGATTGTGGAATAAGTGTGCTCGGAGAAATTGCAGTCGAGTAAAGCCGGCTTGTGTCTGGAGAAGCTTGTTCTTTTTCGCTAGCTGTTCTCCGCAATTTCGTTGGATTTTTACTGTGTACTCTCCAAAATCTGCAAACATCACGAAATACGCTCCAAACCTAAAAACAAGTTAATTTTAAAGATTTAAATTAATATTTATTTTGTAAACTTGATCGTAGCATGACTGACCATCACAAAGCTGTTTATATCTCTTTCTATTTATTTAGCCAATAACTTGGTGCGCTGTTAAAGCGGCCCCTTAGGCAATAAACTTGAAATTAACATCAAAAGACAGCCCTAAATTGCCTTCGCGATTAACAAAGGAACTTTATATCATTTAAATGACGTGTGGAAATTTAACTATGAAGCTTTTTCTATTCTATAAAGTTTTAATAGAATTTCACGATAATTATATTCCAAAAAATCGACTAGAACACGTGTACTTTATTTTTATATTTATATTATTATAACATTTAAATCCCATGCATATTCCGAACAGTGGCGGTTCGTGGGTGTATAGGAGGGTGAGGCTGCATGAGGTTAATTTTGTCTAAATACGAATAAACTTTCATGATCCGTCACCCGGGAGGTATTAATTTGCGACGCGTTGACCTTTATTAAAATGGTCGATAGCCCTACTAAACCATTATAAATAAAAAAATATATACTAAAAAAACAAAACTAAGAAAATATCAAAGCAATCTTATCCCATTTGCGAAACTCAAAAAAATCTTTAAAATATATATATGGAACTTAATAATATATTTATATGGATGGATAAAAATATATATACATACAATGCCAACAAATAAGCTTTGTTTATAAATACTTCCGCATAGCCACTTATGGGTTTCGTACAAAATTATTTTTAGCGTTGGACGACTGCATAATATCTGTCTTTTTTTAGTTTAGTTTCTCAAAAAAAAAGATATATTTAACTAAAGAAAACCGGTATTTTGAAAACCTAACTTTAATTAAAACTTGCTAAATCTACCTTATATGTATTGAATGTTCCCCATTGCATCACAATATTAAAATTAAAAATTACACTAATCGAGACTAAAACTATAAAATATCAGCCAAAAGTTTTAAATAATTTAATCTGAATCAAAACAAGAACACCTACTCAATTTACGCTGGGAAGCATACCTACCGTATGAAAGACACGGAATCATCTACGGTCATGTGATAAAACCACCGATCAGAACAACCCAAGCTAATATTATTTCTTCTCAAAGCAGTAAAAAAATGCGAATAGTTCACCGTGATTTTGGCTGATATATTTCGAATTTAAATATGAGCTCTCGAGGCTATGAATAATTCGCCTCTGTCCTGCCGACTCTAATCGATGTAGTGGGTTTGACCGCGAAAACTAGACACGCTTTGCGCCTTGATTTTTATTTACGCTTAGTATACTGCCGTGTTAAGCTTAAAGGTCGTATCTGCCATATTTTGTAGTAAAGGACAGAAGAAAATTTTAATTTTAAAAAACGATAAAAAATGGCTTTTTTGCTTAACTACTAAATATTGCAGATATGAAATTTTGTCTTCGAACGGCAGTTTGTGGTAGTAAAGAAAAAACTTTATTCTTTATTGTTTTTAAAAATTAAAATTTTCTTCTGTCCTTTACTACAAAATATTGTAGATACGACCTCTATCCTTAACAGGGCAGTATAATTGATTGGTTTTTTACTTTTTATTTGGTAGAACTGTTGTAAAAATACACTTGTATTAGGCAAAAAGCTAAATACAAAAAATCGTTTGTTCCTTCATTTTAAGGGTAAGGCGCGGCCTCAGAGGCCTACCCTGACGAGCCGCCACTGATTCCGAACTTATAGTAAACTAATGTATACATTAGGGTATCCGACAAATACTGTCTGTTATACCTCAAATAGGCTTTTTCTACATGGCCTGGTGTAATTTTGATTCCTAATTCAATTTTTTTTATGAAATGGGAAAATTGTCTCGCTAACCAATAGACATACAGTATAAGTTCTTCCCATAAAAATAAGTTAAGTTTCTGGACAAAAGTACAAAACTTGTTGATTGGCAATTAACCTTAATGGATCTGATTAAATATAAGAATATTTTTTATGCGTTTTTATTATTTCTCTTGAAAAATATTGTTTAAAATTAAATTTAAAAGTTTGTTTTAGTAAAGGAAATACTGTTTAATAAAAGTATTTGGTAACATTCACTAATAACAAAGTTCTGAATTTTATTGATAAAAGTGATAGATTACACGGAGAGAAAAGTATAATGCTGATTACCCTAATTATAATACCTACCCTTTACTATAATTTATATTACTATTTGAGACAACTATCTTGTATATTGCCAGATACTATGCATATTTAGTAATTTTTAAATATCCATGTATGTTAAACCTTAAGGTAAAATATTATTATTCTCAACCAATTTTGTTTTTAATTCTTATTATAATTAGATTTTTTCCATAACTAATAAGTATAGTAAATTTTAAAATATTATGTTGCCATTTTAGATATAAAATATTTTAAAATCGAATATTTTTATATGTTAACAATTAAAAATTGTAACATATTTATTGTACTTTTTAATATACAAAAATGTTATGAAAAAGAATTGAACCTACACCTCGCCAAAGTTTTTTGTTTTGAGTGCGTTCCATCAACTTCAAATACCGACAGACAGGTGTTTTGACCTATATTGGGTATCATCAGTGTCGACACGACACTGTCGAGCAACTTGTAGTAGTGGAACACACCCAAAACAAAGAAATACCTGAGGTTATATAACATGGTTGGTAAGCCATCAGAGGCGAGATGTAAGAACACCACGTGATCCACACCGTCTAACGACGCGTCGCGACGTGGCCATCCGCAATCGGTACCTACATACTATGCAACCAAGTAGGTTCAATTCTTTCTTATAAATATTTCCAAGAAAGTTTATTGAAGAAACTAAGAAAATTGAATGTTTAAAATGTCATGAGTTACTATATTGTTTATTTACCTTAAACATAAAAGTATCTTTATTTTTACTATATTTTTTTATTAATGTGTTATATATTATAATATTATATGTACACCTTACATTTGATTAAATCATATAGTAAATATTACTATTTGTAGATAGTCAAATCAATTTACTATACGAACATAATATGTTCGTAATATATATTAAAAATTAAAATATATATTATACATTTATGATTTAGTAATATTGGTGTTGTAATCTTTACTAAAATTGTATAATAAAAAATAGTATTTTGTATTACATTCTTAATATTGTATTGACGAATATATGATATTGTTACCCTAAAAATTTGTTAAAGTAAATTTTACTAAAATTTTTTTACTATCTAAAATTTACTATACATTTCTCTCCGTGTATATTTACAAGTTTAATGATTACAATATTTAGAAGCATCCTGTGTATTTGCTGATTAAATATTTAACGACTCTCTAATTTTTCTTGGCGACGCGTTGCGTATGACTACACTTGTGATTTTTTTCCTTAGACGTTAATTCGTATGCGATTTTTAATTTTGTTAAATCAGGGGTCTACCCCTGTATATAACATTAAATGGCAAAACCCATTTTGAATTAATCCTGACATTATTGATTTTATGCTCTTAGTTTATTGGGTAAGCATTAGGAAAAACCCCCTGCTGGGTTTATCACATCAAAGGATTTAATCCCGTTGTATAAAGACCTTTCGATATTCATTATTAACATTTGCAGTACCTGGTCAATACTCTCTCGAACAGATATCTCATGAAAACAAACACAACCAATTTCTTTGCTCCTACGTTGTCCTTCTTCCAACGAAACCATTCTGTCCTCAATTTGATCAATTTTATTACCAACAAGGACAACAGGAACATCGTAAATTCCATCTTTGCTGCTGCTTCCCAACTTACGCCTACGCTTATTATAATTTATCAGGAACTTTAACCTATAGCATTCGTCGAACGAACACTTATCAGTTACGGAATACATAAGGATGAAAGCTTCGGCCCATCTTATATTAGCTTCCAGTCCCAAATATTCACTTTCCTAAAAAATAGGGAAAAAGGAATTTTATAAATGTACAAAACATTTACGCAATATCGCTGGTTATCCAGAAGTTATCTGTAATATAAAATTTCGTGTTCACATAAAAATAAGAGGGTTTTATGTCAAATAAAAACGACGGTTCTGTGAAAAGGGTAAGTTTGCTATCACTGTCGTATTATAGGATGTTTTTGAGCAAAATTCTATTTTTAAAGCATCTTGGAAGTTTTTTTAAATAAATAATAATAATAAATATTAATGTCATATTCCCTTAAGAAAGTTGTTTAAAATATATTACAGATGTCTTACATTAAACTAAATTATTAAAGTCAAAATTATCAACTTTTTCACCCGTGATCTGTCAAAAGTAGACCAAGGGATGTATGCAAAAACGTTGATTTATTTATATCAACTGATTTACGCATATCCACTGATTTAAGTTTGAACCAATTTGGCAAAATAGCAAATTTTAAATGAGGGTGGATTTGTAGGTTATCTTACATATACTTAAATATGTGTTTATTAAATTATAAGAGTGATACATTTTCAAAATGTATTAAATAAACACATAATAGTATATTATGTATGAAGTTTGATAAACGCCATTTTATACAAGAATTTAATTTAGGCACGAGCGAGCTTGCGAGCGAGTGCTTAAATTAATGAGTTTATAGAAAAGTTTATAAACGAGGTGCATACTATACTTTTTCTACGACAAATACTTATTAATATCTTAAACTGATTTCATCAAATGTCACATTTTTATATTTTATAAACAAAGATTATAAAGGTTATAAATCAAAATGTATTTCTTGAAAATTGACAGTTTTTCACAGTGAAAGTAAAGAAAATGTTTTATGAGGAAAATTAAAAAGTCAGTACAATGTTCATATAAACTTTTCAAATATTGGTGTTAAGAAACTATTTAATACTTTTGCATTTTTGTATTGAGATAATAAAATAATTTTCACATTTAGTATTAATTTACAAGAAACGCACTTTATTTTAACGATTGTATGACATTTGACAACTGTCAACTAACTTAAAACTAACTTCAGCCCGTGACTAAAAACCTGTTGCTAACTTTAGCCCGTGACTAAAGCGCCATAAAGCCACAACTTGTCAATGTGTATTTAAAAGGTCACTCAGTGTCATGAAAACATGTACGATAAAGGGCGTTTTAAAGGTGGGAGTAGGAAAATACATTTATAACTGACTAAACCATATTATTCACAAAAACTTGGTTTTGAATTGGATTTCGGCAATATAAATCACAACAATAGTTATAATAGTTATAGGAATACTAGACCTGCTTCTATAAAAAAGAAGGCAATGCTCTTTTACCTATTATTTTACAGAAACAAGTAATACCTTTTTAGGCATTTAGGCAAATGTTTTGAAAAATAAATGATGCCGAAGACATTGAGAGGGAAAAAATACATTTAAAATTTGTGACAAGAATATAAAAAAATTAAGAAACAAACTCTAGAGGAAAACATACGTAAGTTAATGCTTAATATACATAAATGGCTTCAGAATAAACTTTTTTAATCACAGATGGAGCTATACTCAAAAATTGCATGTCCAGAAAAATTGTGCTAGAAAATGGGTGGGAGGTGGAGTCTCGAAACTTTTTGTAGCATGCATATAGTTTACCCTTGCCTGCCCCCTGAACAAAAACCTGACTATACCCTTGCTGGAAATGGGGCAAGGATCCCTGCTTTTCTAAAAGGTTAATTAATAAAAAAAAATCAGCATGCCTAATACACTTTGTTTTTTAAATAATTTATATTGAAAAATATATGTACACAAATTACTGTTACTTTTATAAAGTATATTTTTAAATTTTTGTTGCAGTTCTAGTCCAGATTTTTTTACCCTGTGTATTTTATTTTAAAAATAAAAATATTGTTCCAGACCATATTTTTAATTATTTGTCAAATAAATATAACAAATAATAAAAACAATTTAAACCAAAAATATAAAAACATAGTTTCATACACTGCCTGTTTTTGCTTTCTAGCCAAAACATTTGCTTTTACCTAGAGGATGTATTTTTTATTTTCCTATAAAATGCATTTTAAACTTGTATTATTGGCAAAAATTGTTAATAATATTATAATATGTATATTCAATTTAAAATACCCATTTTGCCCTTTTGTCCCTCCATTTCCTTTTTTTCTATGTTTAATAGTACATTCCTGGGCCCAAAAATAAATAGAGTGTAAATTTCCTCTCAGTAAAAAGTCCCCTCTACCTTGTTAAGTCCTTTACCCAAAACCTACTTTTTCTATTTCTAAGATCAAGCACATTATTTAAAAAGTAAAAAGGCGTTTCTCGGAAAAACATCATTAGTCCAATATCGTCGAAATTTAGATATTAGCACCAACTGTTTCCTAACCTCCATATATACGTATACAAATAAGTGTTTCTCGTAAAAATGTCATAGGTTCCATAATAATTAAATATGAATGAAATGAAATTTAGCTTGTTCTTCTAAAAACATCACAAGTCCACTCCGTTTCGTCTAAGAAAGTCACATGTGCATAACATGTGACGTTTTTGGACACTCTAGAAAAGCTTCTACCTCTTTTACATGACCACAGCAATAGAAAATTTTATGATAACTTGATAAAAGACCAGAAGACCATAGCACCTGACAGTCCTGATAACACGGTCGACAACGATGATAACAGCAGTAGATGCAAAGACTGAGTGTGGCAGTAATACAGTTTTTAGTTTTTTCATTTATTTTGTTACTCAGAGTTATTATATAGTTTGTAGTAAGGAGAATTGTTCGTTTTTTTCTTCTAAAAACCTCACATGTTCATGTATTTTTTGTGTTTTTTCATATTCGTTTGAAAAAAAAACATGAGGAATTCTGGACAAAGTATCTTACATTTTTTTACATGTAGTAAATAGGTCAATTAAGTACTTTGGTCAAAAATGAGAATGTCGGAGAGTTTTTATCATTTTCCCAAATATGTTAATTTTGGACTAATGATGTTTTTCCGAGAAACGCGTCAGTTAAAAGCAGGGAATAAGTTAAACATGGTCTAATATTTAAAATTCTTCTAAGTATTTAAAAAATAAGACAAATAGTTTTTAAACACAATTTCGGTATTTTTTTTAATTATCTATAACATAGGTAGTATATTAAAACGTAAACATTTATGTTTTTTAATTTAAAAAAATAAATCAATAAATATTTTCACCTAAGTTTAATGTTAGGGGTACTTATTTTACAATGAAACTAAAGAAAGTTATAAATCAATTGATTTCAAGTATTCTTCTTTTCAGACAAAAAAACAGCAAAGATGTTTGATACAATTAACATGGTAGTTAGTTTATCTTTAATTTTTTTTTATTTTTTAGCTATATCTTTGTTATAGGTATGTTAAACATACTATGTTAACCTTCTGAATTTATTTTTTTATATATATTTACAAGCAAAAATACTGTCTATTTCTATTCATATTTTAAATCAGTCGTTAACGACTATAAATTATATCAACCGATTTACATTTTAAATAATTTTATTGGCTAAAAAACAAATCTAGTAAACCATGACTTATATTAGCAAAATTATTTTTCTTCATACCTTGTTCGAAAGAACTTACTTTCGTCCCTAATAGCAGGGACAAAAGTTTATTATTTAGTGCTCATTCATAATGGACGTAACCATAAGATTTCCATAAAACGTAAACATAATATTACCATAATTTGTACGTAACTATGAGCTATGTTTATAATGAACGTATGCCTTATGTGTACATTAATAAGGCGCGTATGTCCAAGTTCACTAAAATGACAGCATTGAAAGCTTTCGTCTAATTATTATGTCTTAAAACTATCAGTGTTATCATAACCTTAGAATGACTTCTTCTTTTCTTGGCAAAGAGAAGAAGTTTGCCCACAACCGAAAAGAAGCAATGGAAACCTCGTCGGTGGAGTGTAAGACCAGTGAATAGGGGCAGAGAAAAAAAGGGCGAATTACGTCGAATAATACTCAAACTAAAATTTCACGATGAGGAATGGTTCTTTAGATACACCAGAATACACTTGAAAAACATCTGTCATCTGTTTGCATGGCAGCCTGATTGCTACCAACAATGTTCTAGTAAAATCATGAAAATTACTAAAATTCACACATAAGAAACCAGTAAAGTTGAGTTCATTTCAACCCATAAGATCTTATCTTCGGATACTCATTATAAACAGGCACACTGGTTTTGTTAATATTCAACTTTACGTGTTGCGTATTTCTTACGGACATCTTATGGTTACGTCCATTATGAATGAGCACTTACTCGCTGTGCTATTAGGGACGAAAGTACGTACTTTCGACCGACTTAACCTTTCGTCCCGGCTCTCGGTCCCGCGCGTCATGACGAGCAGGGCCGAAAATTCAACTTTCGGCCTTTGTAGTGAAATATACTATTCTATGGTTAGAAGCAACTGTCACAAATGTGAAATAAATCTTGATGAAATTGTTTTACCTATGTCTAATTTAAAATGTCAATGTATAGAAATATACTTCTTTAGGGAAAATATAAACGTTGAATTTATTTTAAATTATTATAAAACAACAGTTTTTAAAGAAAAATACTGCGTTGTCGTGCAAAAACCTGATATGCTCAATCAGTTGATATAAATAAATCAACGCTCCAAGTAATTATTTGTTAATTTTGATCAATCAAAAGTAATTGTTACCAATATTGGACTAATACTACAAGGTGAATATTTTTGACAAATGGTAATCATTTTTTATTATTTTGTATTGAAATTAAATGAACAATTTAAAATTTTTGGTTCCAAAAAATTGTCCACCAAATACCACTCATAATCAAAAATAGTATTTTCATTTTGAGGTGTTATATAGCGAACATTGTTTGTGGTTTGTGGTACTCGTGCTGCATACTCGTACTATTCAAACCAAAGATATTGTCTTTGGATCACCCCTCAAAATATTCAACATATTTTTGATTACTCTTAGTATTTTA